GTGAGAATGCACCTTGTGGAGAGAAATGAGAATAAAATCTAACCGTCGGATCTGATGCATCGTGCGGCTTAGATTGCATCTTGCGCTCAGATTTTGAGATAGTGCATTTTCGAAGGTTTATGGTGCATTTCGACGTGATGCATTTTCGCACCATTTTGGTGCATCTAATTTTGATGAAATCTTGACCCTTAGATCTCACAATCTAAAGCACCAGATTCATTCTCATTTCTCTCCTAAGATTGCATTCTTACCAGAACCAAAATCTATATATATATATATATATATATATATATATATATATATATATATATATATATATATATAAAATCACCATCTCATTGGAAAATATAAGAATTTGAACCCTAGAAAGAGTGAGCAGTGGTCTTGGGGTGAAAAACTTATAGAACTGGAATAAGGCTTCAATTATTAAAACACATGTGTGTCCTTAGCCTAAAAAAGATAACTTACGCGTGAAATGGATACATACTCATCACATGAAAGGTGAATCCATATGGGATTTTTTTTATTAATTAAAGAAGACAGTTGTTGGTGCTTCAAAAGAATAACTAGTATCACACAAGCAAAATCTTGGACTCTGCAGCGAATGGTTCGGCAAAAAAATGGTAAATCAAGTGAAACACCCCAAAGTTCAACGTTACTATGTGGCCTTGAACAAACTTACTTGAACAAACTGATGTGGTTAGTCTGCCCAAACTCCTCGACATACTACCTACACATTAAAATTAAGGCTCAGCAAATTTGTTTGTGGTGAGAATTAGGGATAACATCTTACTATGGCTAAGAGTAAGTTTGTCATTTCTGTCATCATTCTGGTTCTCAACCAAAGAGGAGGGAAATAAACCACGTTTTCGTCATTTTGTAGGTGAAGCCCTGATTTCCAACTTCAAAAATAAACAAGGTAGTAAGGCACATATCAAACACAAAACTTAAATCTCATGGGTCAAAATTTGAATAAAGTAAATGAAGGTCCATTGAGCCTTAATTTGCGGTACGTGAATATCTAACCAAAGAATAAACTTGTATAGAGAAAACCTCAAACAATGGACAATGTGATTTCCATTTTCATATTAAAATTAAAGAGGCAGTTTGGCGTGATTCTGGATGCTTATGTTGTTTCAGGGTTCAGAAAGATATATTCAAGCCTATGGAATTCGGGATTCTAATACAAATCCCAGCCCTAATAAATGCTCTCTTGTTTCCAATAAATCCCCCGATGATGTGTTCCTTATAAAGCATACCACTAATAGGGAATAAAGGAATATGAAGCACATATCTTTACCTAAGGAAGAAAAGGGCTAATAGGAATAATAGGGACCAAAAGCAGTATATATGGCGAATTTTAAAAAAATAAAACTAAAAATATTTTCCCTCAATTCCTTTTCTTTCAAATTTCCGATATATTTTCCGAAATGTATTATTCCACTACCATTTTCCATGTTCGAAACAGATCCTAAAGAGTTGTAACTGTAATTTTTGTTTTATCGGATAAAAACAATAGCTCACCTGCTCTTTCTTCCATTGAAAGGGCCTCCCATCCCATTATTCAAATCAATGGCATTAAAAAAAAAATTCGGTTTTCGTGGAAATGAACAAAAAATTGCGATATAGTAATATGCTTGAGTGGAGGGATTTTACATGATACAAACAAAACAACAAAATACTGACCAGGCCAGACAACATCATATGTATTGTATATACCTCATTATCGATTTTAGAAATATCACAACACGCAACGTTAACCTACTGCACAACAGAGCATAGGGATGAGGTTGTGTAATTCCTGTGAGAAATTACGATTGAAAAATAAGAATTTGTTGTGAATTTACCTCATTTCTAGTTTGTTTCGACATCTCAATCTGTTGATCCTGCTAAATCCGTTCCCATCTACATTCACAGTTCCGTGTCAAACGCCTCTTCATTGCCTAAATAAAGTGCCACAAAGTTATACAAGCTGCACCCTGATTTCTGAACTTGGAGACAGATTCCTAAAGGTAGTAATGCAAACCACACAATGTTATACTACTCGCTCATAGCATAGTTATTAAAATGCTTCAAAGGAGCACACAGAACACACAAAATGTCTTATATTACATCATACTAGTGCAGTACTATAATATAAGTGTTAAATGTTTTGTATATTTAATATCTTCCATATATGGTAGATTTCCTTTGTATAGGGTTTCCTTGTTTATATCCTACCATAGATAGGAGTCGTGTAACTTTGTATATATACGGAGCTTGACTCCACAATTTCCGAGACCTAAACCCTAACGCCGTTTTTCCTTCTCCGGCGTCCCTCTCTCTCGGCCAGCTTCTTCTCAGCGGCAGCAGCCTCTCTCTCTCGCCGCCGTCTCTTCAGCGACGGTCCTTCTCCCTGACGCCGCCCTTGCCGTGCGTCCCTCTCCCTCGGCGACAGATTCTCCAGCGCCACAGCGCCCCAACGCCGCCACCATGACAGAGAAAATCCCTACCCCTGAGAAATCTGCCACCACGCCACCCTCCACTCCTCACTTGGCGTTTACCACCATCTCTAACGTGAAGCTTCACGTCCCGATCCTCTTGAGTTTCTCCGAGCCAAATTATAAAAAGTGGAGCCGGTTGTTCCTCCTTTTGGTTCGCCGCTTCTCCCTCGGTGATTTTCTCACCGGCAAATCAATTCCCTCCGGCACCGACGACACCGAATGGTACCAACTTGATGCACTCATCCAAGGGTGGATTCTCTCCACAATTAATGACGAGGTTTCCGATCTTGTCCTCTCCTCTACCGATTCGGCGACGGAACTCTGGAAATCTATTCACTCTCTCTTCCATGACAACAAACCCGCCCGGGCTATGCAATTGGAGCACCAATTCCGGACGACGACGAAAGGGTCACTCACCATGTCGGCCTATTGCCAAGCCCTCAGAAACTTAGCCGACTGGTTGGACAACGTCGATGCCCCAGTTTCCGAACAACAACTCGTGCTGCAGGTTCTTCGGGGGCTGCCGGACGACATACGGAACCAAACGTCCTTCCTCCAGTTTCAAACGCCGCCCCCGACGTTTCTCCAAACACGATCGGCACTCCTCCTCATAGAGCGACAACGGATGGATCTGGGCAGCGATGATCACTCCTCTGGCA